CTTCCTTCCCCCGAAACTTTAGAAATCTAAAAGAAAAAAATAAAAAAAAAAGGTCCAAAAGATAGGGGGAGATGGACGATGAGCTGTCGCCAATCAGAAGCCTTCTCGTTCTCCAAAAAGGGCAGCGGCCACTATTATTAAATTAATTTATTTTTAACTCAACCCTATGGTCTATGCTCCATCCCATTCATCCGTAGGCTTCGGCTTTTTTTTTTTTTTTTTAATCTTTTTTTGGTGACGTTGACGTGTTTCTCTTTGATGATCGGCGGGACCCGCATTCACATGGCCCTCTGGGCCCCACTCCTTTGTTTCAGCTTTCCAAGTGGGTCCCACCCTGAGTTGTAGTGGAGGGTGGAGGGTGGGTTTTTATTTAAATAAAATAATAATTAATCTGGCGTTTCCGGATTCTCTCTCTGTTTCCCCATCCCATACACTGCCTCCACTCTGAGGTGCAAACATTCACATCAATTTTATATTTTCTCGCCTTAAAATCAAATTTATTTTATTCTTTATATATATACATATAAATGTACCCTCTTTTATTTCCTATTTGACAAAATTGCCAATGGAATCTCTTGTTTTCTTCTCATCATGCTCCACCTTTAATATATTCTCCCTGATTATAAATATTGTGTTATGTTTTTATCTCTTAAAGTCTTTTTCTTTAAACTTTTATTAAAATGTGTAATAAACATTAGAATATTTGGTAGAATTGAAATATTTAAAAGGTTAATTAGGAGAAAAATAAAACATTTTGTGTAATCTACCTGGACTCAATTTTTTGTTTCAGTGTTTAATAATTTTAATTCTACTCCTAATTTGTTAACTTTGTTAGTTATTTTAATAAAAATTTCTAACGAATGATTTTTTCCAAAAAATAAAAAGAAAAACAAATTAAAAGATCGGAGTAAATTTGAACTTTTTTTTAATGTTTCCAAAATTAAAATCATTAATAATTAAGTCTAGATCGTGAGTTTGAATCTCCATCATTGTTGTATCAAGGAAAGAAAAAACTTCTCCCAAAACCAAACGTGGGTTGAGCTTAGGGAGCGTAACACACCCAAGTCCTATCTAAAGATCTTTCTAATTTTTTGAATAGTGGTTGATAAAAGGTAAGAGGAGAAGTTAACGTTGTACACTATTTAACATCTTATTTGTTTATAATTACTAAAATAGATTATTGTTGATATAGATATAATTAATGTTTGGTTGACATGAAAATAATTTAACTAATAAAAAAATTAGAAGTTAAACTAAAAACAAATGATTGGGATGAATGAAATAGAAATCTACCACTCATGTCGGACCAATTGAGTCTAGCATTAACAGATCTTAAAAAAAAAAAAGCATTGAATAGTAGTATAAAAATATAAAGGAAAAGTGTAATTTAGATTTAGAAGGTAAGAAATGAAATGGGGATTTTGGGCGAAGGGGAGAGTGGTCCCATCACCGTACACGTGTACATGAATGCGTTCAGAGAATCACAAAAAGGTTAAAACGGCAGAATATCAGACACGGAAGCGCAGCGCCCATGTGCATCTTCAACGTTCAGTGTTCATCCCTCCACATTTCCAATCCTTTTTCTCATTTTATTTTTCAACCTCTCCTCCCACGAGTTTTTATTTACTTATTGAATGTAATCAAATATGTAATATTTTTTTTTTATATATTTAATTAAGATTAATGGTTTGGTTGGTTTTAACTTAAATAAAAGTGGTTTTGTTTGTGTTTGTGTGGCTTGACTTTTAAGGCATAAAGTTGGGGGATGTTAAAAAGCTGCGCCTCTCAACAGACACGTATTTTTGGGATCCAATCATCTCACTTTTCTCTTTCCCCACACCTCAAACACCGTACATTCATCAATCCCTCTACTCTAAAAATAAGTCATTTCTTTTTAATCTCTCTTAATAAAAGTATTTACGTAATAACGTTCTCAAGTTTAATTTGAAAAATAAAAAACGAAATTGTTATTAAATGAGCCCAAAATTTCAAATATCTTGAGAGAGACATATTTTTTGGTATTCTCATAGTTTGATTTGGGTATCTCTATACTTCATTTTAGGCATTTTGTTAGTCCAATTTTATACTTTCTTATTGGCTCGTAAATAATTTTTCTAAGTTTAGTTTTGTTGGGAGAGGAAATGTTGGTTTCACTATTATTCAAATTTAATGTGGAAATTGGTTCACTAAGAAAAAATATATTTTCTTGGTTGTTAAAAATAAAAAGAATGGAAAGTTCTATTGCTTTCCTGAAAAAATTCCATTTATGCAACTTTTTAAATTGCTAGCCACTAATTTTTCTCTTTTATTATTAAAATTATTATTATTGTTTTTTTTTTATAATAGTTGACTATTTTATTTTTTGTTTAAAGATATTTGTTCACATCGGTAAACACATACTTTCTGATTATGCATTACTCCACGAACACGGCGAACTTTAATAACGGAGGGTGGGTCGTAGAAAAATTGAAAAGTAAAATTTTAAGTATTTTTTGGATAATCTTACAACACGAGACAAATTCTTTTGGCATTATAATAAGAAGGGAGTTTACCCGATCAAAAGTGAGTATAAGTTAGCACGGGATGAAATCCATGAAGCATCATCTTCCAATTGGATAATGAAGAAAATGGATTAGTGGAAAACTCTTTATAATTTAAATTTATCCATCGAGACAAAGATTTTTATGTGAACAGTTTGTTTGGACACACTTTCCATGAATTTAAACCTTCATAAAAGAAAAATAATGGAAGACTTTGGTAGCCACGTTGTGGTAGAGAAATGGAATATGAAATTCATGCATGGTGATCTTGTAAATTGGTGAAAAAATCATGGGTTCTTTGGAATCCAAATTCTAAACTATATGATACTACTAAGCTACTTTCATATTATTCTTATTTTGTTTTGTAGGGCAATTAAGGACTCAGTGAGGACCAAATCAACGTGTTTGTATTATGGTCGTTTTAGAATCATAAGATTTACTACATTGATCCATAACTCTTAGAAAACTTTTGACAACCCTATCATTTAGGCGCTACAATACATATACGAACCGGAGGAAACAAAAAAATCATCTTTATACTGCTCCACAAATCTAAACAACACATATTTCTACCAACAACCTAATTGATATTATAGAAATTATATTAATCGAGATCGAGAAAGTTGGATGCCTCCAGAACCTCATACTTATAATCATAACACCAATACTACTATTTTCAATGAGAGTGTCAGTCTCTGTCCTATAATTCGTAACTCAAAGGGTTAAGTAATGACTTCTGCCAAGACATTCTGAACGATGTTGGGATATGTGGTGTTTGTTGAAGTCACTGCTCTAAATGAAGGCATCACTTTGACGCAAGAATCAGGTATTATCTAGACGTTGTGAGCGAAAATTGACTCTTCGATTCTACGAAATCTAATACAGGAGCACGAGAGTTATGAGAATGAAACTCAGCTTTTTGTCCATAAAATAGAGTGAGAAATGACAAAACAAAAATTGTTGATTACTTCATTCTTATCGGAACGACTTGTAATAAAGTTATCCACGCCTTAGCAACCCATGCTTGAAAAAATCACCGCTCTAAAATTTGGATTGGAGAAATGCCCCATGGGTTGTTCTTGCCCTTCATGAAGACGCTCCCTTACCTGAATTATTTTGTCTTTTTCCCTTTTTTTCCGAGGAAAAAAAAACGACCAACTTTCTATTTTTCTTCATGATGAGGGAGGAGGGATTGAATGGTAATTTTGACTACTATTTAAGTTTCAATATTTAAATTGAGATCAAATTAGTTTTTCAATATTTTAAAAATTAAATACACTATTTATGAACCTAAATCCGTCGCAATTTATAGTCTACACCATTAATATGATTAACTAAATAATATAGTTAGTTGGAATAGTTATCTTAATTTAATTTAATTAAAATAAAATAAAATTGAAGAAATGGTTGAAACTCTCACTTGAAAATTGTGGAACACAGATTTTAAAAAAATCCACCCCTTTTCCTTTTAATATAAAAACAGTTATAAAATATATATTTAAAAAATGTTGATGTCTACTTTATAGTCACTTTCCTATCTTCTATACGTTGTCTTTTCTTTTTTAGTTCGACACATGTAGGATGAATTAGGCTATGTTCAAGTAAAAAAATATTTTTAGAAATTATATTTATTTTCATATTATATTTGTAGAAGTCTTACATCTTCATAAATCTTGAGTTTTAAGCCGTATATATGGGTAATACAGAATGAAAAAATGGATGGCCTAAACTTTTTTGTTAAATGCAATACAAAATTTAAAGATACGGACAAAAACAAGTACTTATAAAAATGTAGGACTGAAACGTAATATTTATAAAAATAAGAACTTAAAAAAAGTGAAGGTTAGATCGGAATACATGTAC